GTTCCTGGAGTAACAACGACTCTGATTACCCAACTCATTAGAAACATTCAATGATAACTTTGTACTAACAATAATAAGCATACAATGATGATAATCCATTGCACTGGATAAGACTTGATCATAAACAGGATCTAAAAATTTCTTGGCTTCATCTATAATATCTGACCAGCCAATTCCTTCCGACTTCCAACGTCCTTTACATGCAACTCCAACAGTAAGAACTTTGGGTTCCACAGGAGATTGTAATTGGAATATAATATCAGGACTATGAGAAGTAGCGTCCAAAGGAATGTAAATAGTCTCTAAATAAAGTGTCTCTCGAATAATCTTATTCCATTCAGTACTGGCAAAAGTTCTTCGACTCTTGTTCGATTCACTTCTTGTTTCTCTAGAACTAACAACAGACTTGATATAGTGAATAGGTGATGTTGTACTCATTGGAAGTTTCATTTGTTTCCATATTGGAGACAATTGACACAACAACTCCCTCAACTCATTTCGATTCTTTGAAGACAACATCAAAACTAGTCGTAAAGCAACAATTCCTTCAAACACACGACACTTTGAATAGAAGAAACAATCTACTGGTTCGACATCAAGTGATCCAAGAAGTATCTTTTCCATAGTGGAAATAGACGATAGCTTCTTGAAGATTACAACAAATACTTTTGGAATAAGGACTTGAAAAGTATTCTGGTCAATAGGATATCGATATAGTCCCATTTCAGTTACGACATCATATAAAAAGGACTCCGAGGTCAATCTATCATCTACTTGAAACGGTATACGATAAAGTGCCATCATCAAAAGTATATCAAAAACACTTTTTCTATCTTCGTCCAAATTCAATATTTGTTCCACAAATGGTTCAGTGCAAATTATTCGGAAATCGTAGTCGTTCATACACGTCAAACATTCTTCTTTCGATATGAAAGGCTGATTTCTTGCTATTATATAATTCAAAAGCATATTTACTGCACGAGTCAACAAACCAGGAACTCCACCTGTACATTCCAATAATGAGTCTGCCAATTCATTTACTGAAAATGAAGAACTACATAAGACATTACAAACTGGTTCTTGAGTAGGTGTCTTTAGAAGACTTTTTTCAAGGAATTCAACGATACTGGAAGCGTCCAAAGGTGATAAAGGGATAAAATGTAGTATAACTCTCGATAGCCCAAAAGCCACATCATTCTTAATACTTAAACCCTTGCTTTTCCCAACAACTATAAAAAACAAGTCGGGTTCTTCGCACAATTGACTAATGATGCCGAAAAAGTCATTGTAAGGTCGAACTCTACCGTCATGGGTTCTCTTGAAATGAAATTCGTCGAGACTTTCGTCTAGGACACCAACTTCATCAAATGCCACCAAAGATATTGATCGGAAGGAGTGTTTAAGATTGAACGGATTTTCTGAACCAAAGCATCACTCCTAAGTTTCAGTTCCTTGAAACATTCGTCCGGGCCTGGTTGCGGAAGACCTGATTGCAAACAAGCGGCCTTGATTAACAAATAGTAGACTGCCCACTCTAGGTTGCGTTCTTTCGGTTCTGTGGGTTCCAACTCCCTTAAATCGACGTACAACAGTGAAGCCCTTTTTAATTTCTCCAAAAAGGTTCTCCTCGAAGGGTCCGAAGCAAATTTCGACAGAAAAGTTTCACCAAACCTTTGCACCAACTCCAAATAGGTTCGGGCAAAGGTCGTTTTGCCCGAGCCAAAGAGATGGGGGGCAAATGGTATGGTCAAGCGATAGTCGCAACTACTTGTTACACCCCTGAGTTGCTTTCGGCCTTTATGAAGATAATACAGTTCTTCTGTCACAAAATAAACGTCCCTTTCACGATCTACCACAACAGACTTAAAGTTGTCCACAGCTTCCCACTTTTCATCCAAACTCGCCATCGCCAAAGAGAAATTAAACAACCTTCAGTTTATTTCGGAGTACAAATATAAATAAATAAACGATTGACTGTTTGTCGGTCACAACAACAACAAGGAAAACAGTAAAGGATACCAATCCAACTTCTTCTCTTTATCAACTGATGACTATGTCATACCCTTTATGGCTTGGACTGAGATGACTAGAATTATGGAAGAACGATCAATATGGCTTTTTCAACTATCAATATTTTTATTCTCGTATGCTAATATAATGGTAACTCTCATAAGGTACAAGGAGGATTGGAAGGAAGCCAATGTTTATTTCACAAGTTTTTTATGCTCTTTGAGAGTATAAAGCTATTAAACATGGCCCATTCTCACATAGATAAGAAAGTTTCTTTCAGAATTTTCGAGAGTAGTCATGAGAGTTCCGAGCAATATAGATTGTTCATGAAGATTTTGTTCCATAGACGTCTCTCTCTAGATTTTCTGTATTTTATGGAATAGTTTTTACGTCACTTTTGCTTCATTTCGAAACACGGATCTAGAGTATGAACCAAGTCATTCTCTTCTGTAGTCTATTCAAAAGCTCCAGTTGAAATATATTATTTAGTAGAAATGCAGAAACCCGCAAGCACAGCACTGCTTTATTCTCAGCAATCATCAAATTCCTTTCTTACGATATCATGACAAGTAGCAGCTTATCACTAAAGCTACAAAAGTTGATGCTAGCAAAAGACAAACCAAAACAAATGTGCAAAGAAGAATACAAAATATCTCGTGGTTTTATCAAAACTCCGAAACAACAGTGACTCAAGCGTATCATCAATACTCAATTTCTGTAAGAGTCAATAACTCCTGTTTCTTTCTCCTCTGAAATTACTCACAGACAATAGTAGCATTTGATACTGTGAATTCTGTTAAGAGGAGAAAAGATATTTTTCAAGAAATTCAATTCAATCGAATTGAGTCTATTCTAGCGACTCTCTTCTCGTATATTGTCATTGCATAGCATTTGAATCATAGTTGAATTCTTTCTCCTCAATAGTCGACTATACATTTGAGGTGTTTTTGAAGGTAAACATGACTGTTTAGGTTTAAAGACAATTGCTGCATCCTCTTGTACGATAAACTTTGTAAAAACTACAACTTTTAAAGATATACAAGAAAGCAAACTATAGAAAGTACAAAGCTGCTTTAGGAACTATAAAACTCCAAGAGAGCTATTATCTCTTCCAATATAAAAAAAAGTAAAACTTTTAAAAGCTCTGCAAATTCAAAGAACGATTTGTCCAGTTGAGTCCTACTCTTCTTCCAATCTCAACCATCAGCTCGTTGAATAAGTGAGTCACTATACAAAAGTTCATTCCGTTAGGCACTTGGAAGAAGACTCTTGCGAAGTATAACTCGATGGGGACACTAGTAGAGGCTTCCTTCTGGATATTTGTGACAAGAACGTTTCGTATAAAAAACGGGTCTATCAATAGAAGGAATGTTCATTTCTACTAGGGACAAGTAAAACTTGAAAAAGCAGCGAAACGCTTTTTTATCCAAGTTGCTCTAAAAAGAATAAAAATGTCGTCAACTCGCAAACAATATTCAGCAGAATAAGATAAAACAATTTATCTGATTCCTTTGCAGAGTCAATCTCAAATGATATTTTGGTTGTTATCTAAACTGGTAAAGGTCTTGTTCTTTTCAATATATTGGATCAATTTCGTGTCCTAGTGAAAAGAAAAGAATATAAACGTAGAAATAATGGAAAAATAAGAATCTTTCATCTCCTCTTGGCAAAGTAATAAAGGAAGGTGAATCTTGAAATATATGTGCAAGGAGAAGTAAAAGCATCACCACTTTTACTCTTATAACAGTCAAAACTCTCTACAAGTTGTTTGTGTAGAGAACAAAGCGAGACCCTTGTAACTTTTGAGGTTCGATCCTCCTTATCGTAAGTAGTTTATGTACGAATTTGTGTATAGACAAAAGTATTCCCAACCTTTGGTCAGTTTTTTATTATCGTCCTGTCCTCTGTATACTTTCCAATTCTACGGTTGAGTGTATGATTTATTCTTCTTTATAACTCGTAATCGAAAAAAGATTGCTCCTTGAGCGTAATTTGCATAGAAGGAAAGGTTCTATCTCTCACAATGCAAGCCAAACAGAGTAAATGTCATTGAAATTGGAAAATGACCATTTTACACCTTTAAGGAGTTTTCCTAAATTTTGAGTGACCAACAAAGAAAGGTTCTCAGATCGAGAACGAGTCAAAAACTGGTTGTAGCAAAACCGTTCTTGATTTGTTATCAAAATAGGGTCACAAGTATTCTGAAATTTACCTTGCAGAGACAACATTGATCAAACTCAACTCTGTTAGAAGGCTACAGTGTCGCTAGA